AAATTTCTATCAGTTATTACTATTTTTCCTCCCACGAGATAAAATTTCAGGTGCATTTGAACAAAACGGATTTCTAATACAATTTTCTTTTCATAATCCTAGGGAAAATACATGTTGCAATTATTTATAAATGAAAAACGATGATTTAAGGTCGGATGCGAATTATTCTTTTATTTTCAGTTAGAGTAGTTTCTAAAAGTTGTAAAAAGCTTAAAAATATTATTATACAATTCTTTGATTATTAGCTCAAGATTTTTTATCATTGCATTTATCTCCAGCGGTAAACAAATTAACACTTAATTCATTGTTGGTAATCTGATTTATTAAACTTTCCTTTTTAGTTTTTCTTCAAACTATGTTGATTATACAGTAAGACACCGCTTAACGCGGGGGATACGTTCCATCAAAGTAGAGCGTAATGCGAAACAGCACTAAACGAGGCTATCTTTACATGTAAATATTGGGGTTAGGGGAAGATGGCTAGGAAATTGGTTAGGTATTAAATTTAAAAAGTATGTTTTTTTTTTTAAAAAATAAAACCAAAAATTATTTCTTAAAGCCCAAATTAATACCACATTATTATTCTTGCAAAAATAAAACAAAATATTAAATAACAAAACGAATATCTTAAAAAAAACAAATAAATTCAGTCAGTCATATTAGTTAGCCTTCCACGTTTTCAGTGTTCTGCCTTTTGTGACAAAAGCATCTAATGTGTTTGTGCCTTTTTCTTTTGCGTTGTTCTCTTAAAAGTTCTTCATAAACGGATAGAGCATCTCTAACACCACCCTTACTTTTGAGCTCCTGTCAAAATTCGGATCATTTCAATGAATTGATCCATTATTCAGTTATGGTAGACAAACTCCTTTTACAAACGCCATCGAAAGTTCTTTTTGCTCTTCTTCTGAATCACTGCTGTCAACATTTTTGTTTTCTTCTTGTTCAGTTAATTCCTTGAGCTCATCATTAGAAAGACTAGCCGCTGCTTCTTGAATTATTTCTTCGACATCTTCCACATTTACCCCTTCAAAACATGTCTGTACAATACCGCACCAAACAAGAAATACAAGTACACTCTTTCAAATATGTATTTGAAACCTATTGCTGCATAATATTTCGGGGAATCCCCATATGCTGCGAGCGATTTCGTGGAATTCCCGGGTTGAAATAAAAGAGCGCTAAACCGAAACAGCGTTAAGCGGGGTCTTACTGTACTTCTAATTTCTAAGCTAAGTTTTTATATTTCTAAAATGTTTTTAAAAATACCCCAAGTCTGCTGTAAGGAAAATAATAATCCTTCTATTAACATCTGGTTAATTCAGAACCAGAAGGCATACAATGACTTTTTGTCTAAAGAAAGGGATGAGTTCGGGATAGGATTCCTAAAGGAAATTGCTTGGTATTTATTTTACACATATGCAAACTGCTAAGTTCCAGCCCATTCGTGAGACTTCGATGGTAATCATTCTATTATAACTGTAGATTTACAGTTACACCTTTTGAATGCACAGCTTCATATACCTTTTTGACGTCTTGCAATGTTAAAATCAATGTAGATAATATTTATAAAATTTTAAATGCTGATTTGCATCAAAGCACTATTATTTGAAACCAATGCCAATGATTTTCATTGGATGCCTTATTCTGAATGTTAAGTGATAATGAACTGAAAATTATAAAAAATACGACAATGATTTTTTTTACTCCCAAATTAAATATATTGAAATATAACTGTATGAAGTTAAGGGAAATAATTTGTATCAATATAATCTTTAGTTCAAGGAATTTCATTTATTCTAATTTTAGAGAATGGCAACGGATTTGTTTGTTTACAGACAAAATGGCTGATGTATTGAAAAACCAATGTGCATTCTCTGGCTATGGGAAACGAAATCTCTGAAAACAGGTTAGAGACGATTCCGACATGAATTTAATAAACCTCCACCAACAGAACAATTAATTAAAAGATAGGTAAAACAGTTTCTGGAGAGTGGACATGCTTTGCATAGAGGAAATGCATCAAGCATGACTGATCAAAATAATTCTGCCATTTAAGATGTGTTTGTGTGCAGGCCCAGTAAATCCATGTGTGTTACCCTGCAAATAGGAATTCCCAAATCGACTGTTCATGAAAGGCTGAAATTGTGTATAAATTGCAGATTTATCAACTAATCAATCCTAACGATAGAGTCGTTCACAAGGAATTTCCATAGAAATTCTTGATCATATCAATAATGATAATCAATTTCTTCAGAAAATCATATTCAATGATGTAGCAACATTTCATGTTTGAGGAGAGGTTAACTGACATAACTGCAGGATTTAGTTGGCAGAAAGTCTGCATTTTGTAACAGAAAACCGAAAGAGGTAGCCCTTAAGTTAACATTTGATGCACACTGACTCATAACAAATTGGTTGGTCCCTTCTTTCCTCATGGTCATCAATTAATTCAGATGATTATTTTATATGCTAAGATTGTTTTCAGCAGTACAATTAGAAGAAATGCACCTACACATTTTTTCCAGCAGGATGGGGCCCATGTCATTGGGCTATACAATATATAAATGTCTTCTTTGATGAAGCATTCCCATTATTGTTGGATTAGTAGTGGTGGAAAATTTCACGGCCATCCCATTCTCTAGATGTCACACCACTCGAATTCCCTTTCTGGGGATACCTGAAGAATCAAGTTTCTGCTGAGATTCACAACACTGAAGAATTAAAAAATCAAACTGACTCAGAAACAGCCATTGCTACGCAGATGTTGAATAACCCCTGGAGGGAAATCAAGAACAGACTTTATATTCTCCGAGCTCACATTGAAGTGTATTAATATAAAATTCTTTGAAGTGTTAAATAATATTGTCGGTCTTTTTTTTTTTTCTGTATCTCTTAAAGACACATTATTTAAAACATGTCTTCATTTGGTGAATAAATTATGGACACCCAATAAATAATTCATCCTAACCACTTTCAAAGACGTAATTGAAATTTTGAACCTCCCCCAAAAAGAGTATATTTTGAAGAAATTTGAAGGCATTAGGGTGATAAAATTAGGTCAGTTAATTCATATTTAAATAACTTTGTTGCTTATTATTATGGCATTACTCTGTGCCAGATATAAACTAAAAAGCATCATCTTGTCTAAGATTACTATGAGAGATGGTTAGAGGAAATCGGCCATATAAGCACAGATAATGAAAGAAATACATATTAAGAATATGCTACTTTGGCAGTGTATATAAGTAAATAAAAAGAAACCACTTTTTCCAGTGTAAATCATATAAATAATCATTGGTAAAAAAGTGATATAAATGAAATTTATTAAAAATCAATATTTTACAAGGCAGATATAGCAGCATTCAGGACACAGAAATAAATTTTTAAAAATGAAAAAACTGTAATAAACAACAGTAGTTGACTTTAACAATGATATAAATAATATTCCTTATGGAATAACAGACAGAATTCATTACGAAACTAGTGAAATGATGGTATAAATTCAAAAATGAAAATATTACACATAATAAAAGATTTAAAATACATGTGTCAGAAAATTCTTGAAACAAATCTGCTTCATTGAGTGAAGCACAGATGATTTATTTTATACAAATGAGAACAAATGGAGCATAATACAAATGCATGAAGTTCTTTCAATGAAAAAATATATATATATATTTATATATATTCATACATTATTTAACAATACTGAAAAATGAAGCAAAAATAACTATTTCTTTAGAAACGTTGAATCATCACAATATTATAAGGCACTAATTTTGCTTATGAAGGGCATAAATTGACACCAATAAAATGCATTTAGACAAGAAAAAATGATTTGAGACTTTGCTGTTATATTTTTATCAAATAAATATACAGTCAAAAGTCATTAATTCGGACACCCATAATCCGGACCTCAAAACTACAAACTTTTTGCGCATGTGTCGCGTTTACGCGTGCACGTAAGACCTTCACGGCTGCGAATATGCGTGTGCGCATAATACGTTCATGCATGCGCGTTAAATGTATAACGGACGGTATAAGCTAAGCTAAAATTATCTAATTCAGTTAATGTTGCAGATTGCATTGTTCCTTAATCTTCAAATTGGAATCGGCTTATTATTTTTTGCAGACTGTTAGAGCAATTTTATAAAAGTAAGCTTGAACTTTCGATTATGTCAAATAGAATTTCCGATATATATTTACTAATATGTAAAGGATCTACGAAGCGAAAGTATGTTTCGAAGTCCATTAAACAGAAAGTGGAATTGCTGCAAAAAATGGATAAAGGCATATCCTTTGTTTGTCTAACCATTCCGAAATCTGTTTATCAATTTCACGCTCTCCGGGGGGGGGGGGGGATGCCATGGCGCACAATGAATTGGAAGTTGATCTGTCAGCACTATCCTTATCTTCAGGGCAGATGTTTTTATTTTATTTGGCTTATAATTCCTTACTAAATGTGGTATTTCATCTCGATGTACTCCGTCTTTGATATGATTTAAATCAAGTTCTCGTCATTATAATTCGCTTCTGATAGTGGAGAAAGTGACACAGAGGTTATTGAAAACGAAAAAATTTCGACTGACAAATTAGTCGGTATTCTCGACACAAGCAATTATAGGACTGAACAGCGGAACTTTGTAAACTGAACAAGAAATTATGTCGTTTATAGAATTAAAGAGAAGTATTATCACATTGAAACGAAGCAACTTAAAACAACTTACATGAAAAAATGTTTACTAAAGTAACAAATAAATATTGGAAGTTGATCTGTCAGCACTATCCTTATCTTATGGGCAGATGTTTTATTTATTTGGCTTATAATTCCATAATAAATGTAGTATTTCTCTCGATGTACCGTCTTTGATTGATTAAATCAGTTCAAAACTTAACAAACTTACGTTGAAAGAAATGTTTATAAAGTAAACAAATAAATATTAAGCTTTTTTTTTGTAAATTTTGATACCCTTTAGATCATAATTGTTTTTATTCATAAAATTATGGTTTCATATTTTTAATTTTATAATTTCTGCATGCCATCTTACCAGATTTAAACTGATGATCTATAATCCAGAAAAATCGATAATCCGGAATCGCCGAAGTCCGGATTAACGACTTTTGTCTGTATTTCAACTGCACAATAAAGAGCATATAAAAAATAATTTGATATCATAAACAATTGGATAAAACGAAAAACGCCAAATGTTTCTCTTCTGTTTAAAAACAGATCCAAATTTTAAATTAATGTGTGACTATTTTAACCCGTATACAAATAACCACGTAGCTATTCATAATACAAAATCTGAACCTACTACCTCATACAATTGGTTACAGATGATAGAATGATAACATGAAAAACAGAATGAAAATATATGGCCTCTCTATATTTGTGTAGCAGATTATTTTCAATGGTTGTATAAATAAATGTAAAAATGAATAACTATTTGTTCTGTTTAAGTTTGAACTACCATAATCCACAAACAAAATTAAAATGTTATTATCTTACACCAATTCACTTATTTATGTTGCAACAAGATAGCTTTAAGTTTGTTCTAACTGGTCCGTTTTCTGCCTGAAGAGTTATACCCCCCCCAAAATAGAAATTAGACTTAAATATAAACAATGGAATAATATACAATAACTCATTATGTACCTACATTACAAACTAGTAAGATGATGTCAAGCTCAATAATGTAAAACACACGATACTTGAATAAATCCATGAAAACAAGGAATGGCTTTTCAAAATATCACAATGCATATTTGCATATATATTGCAAATTTTGTCCACATGTCAAAAATTTATATACGAGATGTAAAATTGGCAGGAAACAATCCTTTTCTTCCATTAAATATACCCATCAGCCATCCTTCTTCCTATAAAAGAAAGTACCATAATTAGTAATGAAATTTCAGACAGTTTCCAGAACTTCAAAATTCAGTTATTCAATTAGTTAGTAAGCAATGATTGACTGGAAGCCGTGCATTATGACACGAAGCTTTGCGTTCTGATTAATCACATATTTTCCATGGAACCTCAGTACAACAAATCTCAAATTCTGAATTATTAAAAAATTTAAGGAATTTTAGGTAAGGCAGAGATATTTGGAAATTTTAAATTTATTTATATGACTAATATTTTTTTTAACCTACGTAATATTGTGTACTCTTTAGGCCCATATCACACGACGTTTGTTTCACTCGAACAACTGTTTCGGACAATTTTTTCACTAGTTTACTATTGAAAGAAAGACGTGCGACTTTTTCCTTCCTTTCCAAAAAAATTGCAAGTTGTTCGTTTTCAACCAATCAGCTATCAGCTTGTTTGTAATGGGGAACCAGTTTCTCCTGTGTTAACCCCAAAGCGATCTATGGTGATTGGCTGTTACACAGCAATAATTGGGATAGCGATTTATTATTTACTCTCAGTACCTAATACTTTTATGGAAGACACATTGAAAAAAAAATAGCTAACAAAAGTGTATTCTATATGAAAAATGTTTGAAAATCTGAATATAAGTGAGTCGTACAGCATTTCTGCATCTGTTACTTGAAGTATATGGCTTTGATATTAGAAACAAGTTTCCTGACCACCAGCCTTTAAAAGTCTTGAAAAACACGTTAAATGACTTACTTGTTCATCTGGATCCTCATAGGCAATTACATCAATGATATCACCAACATTAAAGGATAGTTCATCAACATCTTCAGCAGTGTACTTGTAAGTGCCTTGTACCTTAAATAACAAATTGCAAAACATTTTTATGTTCCAATATTTTAATACAACAGCATATAAATACATTGCTGAAAATAAGAAATTAGAGAAAATAACCTGATACAATATACGGTGTTCTGTAGGAGGTGGTTCTTTAGCAGCCTCGACTTCCAAGCTTTCATCCTGTGACATAAATTGAAAACCCTGTTAATTACATTATATGATACTATTTAAAGATGAATAATTACAGTTGAAATCAATCTAATCCTGAAAACATTACACAGTACGTGCATCTGCACCCCCTAACATTTCTTGTTACATTATGGCAGAAATTAAATACCCGCAGTATTGAGGATAAAGAAATGAATGCGAACAGCTTTGAAACTGAACATTTTACTTCCAAATTTTTAGTTAAACATAGTATACAATTAAATCATCTGAGCATCAACACAAAAGGGTTCTCCTTTTTTGGGCAGCATATTTGTTGAATTTGGAAACTGATGAAACCCCTAACTACATCCTCCATAAAAAAGACAAAGCATTCATTGACTCACTGGTCAGGAAAAGGTAAAACTGTCATGGAGAGCAACATGAAACTAAACAAACTGGACGGTGACAGAAGGTGCCCTCTGGCTCAAGATCACTTAGGTTAGTTTTAACTTCAGAAAGCTAGTAAGCCATTACACAATTCTATAAAGAATGAAATATTAATAAATTGAAATGAGATTCAAAGGTATTTTTAACTGCATAAGTTAGAGAAAAAATAATCTTTCTTTAGAAGCATACTTCTAATAGAATTATTTTATATTATTACTCACTATTGAAGGGTCTTTATTCCTCAGGTAACTTTGCTATCATTACAAAATGCATTTTTTTTCACTGCAGACTATCTTTCTCTCTCTTAAGAAAAACAAGTTCAGATCCATTTTTAAAATGCAGAGTATCTTTATCTCTTTTCAGAAGAATACATTCAGATCCATCTTCAAAATAATTACACATACTTCAGCTTTCAAAATGAAATCCTACCATTCTCTTTCTCTTCCAACAGTTTGATAGTTTTACCTTCACATTAATAGTTGAAACTTAATATCACAACACATTAGAAAAATAATCTTTATTACTGTTATAAAATTTAATTCAAATTTGTTAAATAATAGTAAATTAAAATTCAATAACAAGCTTTAATCAGGAATGCCTGAATCCTTCATATAGCTTTACTGCTTTTTACACAAGAGAAAAAAATAGAAATCTGACATGCTGAATGTATCTTAATAAAATAATGAGATTCATTATCATGACCTCAGAGATCACACAACTTACGTACAGCTAATGTAAATAAACAAGGTCATTATTCCTCTTCTCTTGCAGAATGTATCTCATTAAGATACTAATTTATAATAAAATTTTATATATTTTTTAGCTGTGTATATTTAATACAATTTTGAAATCAAAAACTATAAATTACATTATTCAGATTTAATTAAAAAAATTAGTTTTTAAACACAAAAATGCATATTACTGCATTTGAACATTTTTAGGTCACCATTTTCAAAATATAGGAAACTGAGAATATACACTGTCCCAAAATAAATATTAGCATCAACTCTAGTTTCATTCCACACACTGAAAGGAATGGTTCTTCATCAATTAAACATATTAAGTTTGACAAGCAATCTCTAAATGAATAAACAAACAAACAAACAAACAAAAAAAAAAAAAAAGGAAGGGAGCAGACTTTTGCAGCTGTTTGACGTGTGCTGCAGTGTCATTTTAATTTAGTGCACATTATCAGTTTAAGGTGGTCGACTACAATGAGTTACATTTTCCTATAACATTTCATAGTTTTAAAATCTTTTGCAGAAATAAACAAAGGGATATCTTGAACTCTGAAATACAACTAAAATGCTTACAAAAAATACTAAGTCTACAATCACCATATGAATTCCATGATGACAATGAAAATAACCATAGTCTTTCTTAATAAAAAAATCACTTTTTAATTTGAATAAAGCAAAATATTCTTCACAGCACTTAATGCACTTTTCATGCTGCAGCTGCAACGTATGAAACACATTTATCTTCAAATGAAAAATGTTTATATTTTGATTTAAAATCATACTTTAGATAACTTGCTATAACTGGAAAATGCCGCTGTTAGCTTGGAAACAACAAATACAGCATGTGATTGCCCAGTGTTTCCTGTTCTCCCGAAGGTTAGTGTTTCAAGGCCATGCTACATTCAGTTTATCATTAGGCTCTGTTTGAAGCAGTACTTGATTTTGCTCTCTTGAAATCATAAGTATTAATTTGAAAACAACTTAATAATAATGTGTAACTCTGTGAAGTCTGCTTTAGAAACATAAGAGTTGTTATGATTGTTTAGCACACATGTAAGTTTTTTATTGGCTTAAGATGAAAGAGATGAGATAAGAAATGATGCTGTCCTTGCAATTCCCAAGAGGAATGGACATCAGCATTCAAAAAGTTTAACTGGATGATGGGAGAAGGGGGTATTGTCAGCTCTGCATTCAGACAATGAATAAATTAGTAAATACTGACTAACAGAATACTTGCCAAACAGCACTGACAATAATTTCAACATTAGAATAGTTTCAAAAATTAAGCTGAGAATCTTGAATCCGAAAAAATTTTCCAATGAACATTTGTACTGATGCTCTTCAAAACACTGAAAGTGACAAACTTTTCTTTTAGAAAATGGTATGGCTTGTGATGAATCACAGCTTGTTTGACTATGGCACTGAAATTAAGTGCCAATCCTTACTGTAGAAAATTCCCTCTTCACCAAAGGTAAAGAAGGGATGTCAAAGCAAATTCAAGTTCGCAAGTGATGAATGTATCCGTAATATTCAATGAACTATTCATGTGGAATGGATATTTGAAGGACATATAGTTAACCCATAGTACACTTGGTGAGAATAAAATGGCCTGAACTGTGAAAGGAGAACTAATGGGTTCTTCATTATGATTATGTGCTTGCCTATAATGCTCTCTGTTTGTTGTTTCTGGCTCAGTGCAAGATCTGTCTTAAAGCATCCATACTATGTTCGACTCAGCTTCATGTGATTTGTTTCCAAAAATCATATCTGCAAGGAATCAGATCTGCTGGTACAGAGAAAGACACGCAATTCAGAAACAATCAATCAGGAAATGTATGTGATAGTGTTTCAAATAGTGGAAGATTTATATGGACTAGAATAGGGATCAGGCAGGGGATTACAGTGAAGGAAAATATTTATTCCATAATTTCAAGAACAAGAGATATAACAGGAGTTTTGCTGTTTGTTTTCAGCCACAACTTGTACCACTGGATCTGATAAGCAACTGGATTCAATACTGATGATTTACTGCCAAATTTAAATTGAAAGCATTTGCAAACCTATTATGATAATTAACAAAATGATAGAATGCACAACTAGTGTGAAATGAAGAAATTAAATTTTGTTACTCAAGAAACTATGAATTAAAGAATTGTGAAAAATACCAGTTACTTCTGAAAATTTTGTAATAAGAACTAAATTTGGTTAAACACACAATTTTAGAGAGTATGAATAGCCTAACTTGGTTTACCAAAATTAACATTACAGAATCAGTCTAATTTAATATATATAAAAAATAAAATATGTATTTGAATACTTCTTTCATATCTTCTTTTGTAACATCAAAATTATCTGAACTGAGAGATCTAACTGCTGTTGTTGGAGGTGTAGAAAACACAGCACTGCCAGATGCCGACCCAGATGAAGATCCATCTATGGAAAAATGAACAGGGGATAAAATTCAGCATAGCAGAACATTTTGCATTAACTGCTTAAATAAAAAATATTACAAAAACATGAATTTCAGGAAGCAATAGATAATTTAGAATGAGTAAGCAGAACCCTTTTATATAAACTAAAGGAAACACACCATTTCACATAACATGCAAGAATTCTTTTCAGCAGCTTAAGATAGAAATACACATATGTAATTTCCGGAAGAAAGGCCGCATCAGCGTAAACGCCGCACTCGAGAAAAATGGGGGGAAAAAAATTAAAATTACACAGAAATGCCGCAACAGATTAAATTGCGCGTGACATCGTCGTGGGACGTACAAATGCAAAAACTCAACCTAAGTCCTGATATATGACATACCAGTTAAGAAAAATGCATACAATGAAACCATAACTCAAAAATAAATTAAAGGTAAGAAATGTATAGCTTCTGTGCCATTTAGAGACATTTTCAAAAATTTTCCGCTCCCTTCTTACTTAAAAACTATTCCAACAAGTACTTATAACCCAAACTGATGGGATCTGTATCTGGCAGAATGGCCAAGAAAAATCGAATTTGCGCTGAAGAGGAAATACATGCTGAAGGGGAAATTACGTCAGAGTTCGTTTAGCGAGGCAGGTGGAGTCGTGTCCGCCTTTGAAAAAAATTGCAGTAGATTTAAATTGGAAAAGATGGCAGGAGTGGGGAGAGGATGGGTCCTGGAAGATTCATCGAATAGCAGAGAAGAGAGACTATTCAAACTGATGAGAATGTTGATTTGAAAGGGAAGGAAGAATGTTATTGTTCTGAGATCCCGTTTAGGGTGAATAAGGCATTGTAGGTCCGTTCAAGGGAAAGAATGTAAACAAAATAAACGTTCGCAAAAAAGCAACTGAGTGGTCTTTTGTGTGGGAATAGCACCAGTCTATGCACAATGACAAGGCCATCCAAACTATGTACAATGACTATCGTAGGAAATATTTTATTTTTAGTGTACCTAAATGCCGCACCCGCTGAAAATTTAAGTTTCAAACACGTAAACACCGCGGCGTTTCTTCTGGAAATTACGGTAATTCTGTTATGCAAAAGTATGCATTGTAATGCACGGTAGGCATCTATATTATTTAAAATAAATAATGATCACTCTCTTCTAACACTAAGGAGCAACTATTGTCATGTAACCACCTGTTGATCGGCAAATTAGCTGACACAGATTCATCACTTTGTTAAAAAAAAAGGTAGAATAACCTGAAACAAAACTATTTCTTTGGTTTTTCTATCTACAACAATTTGTAGTAAAAAAAAATATTTAAACCATATACCATTTAAAAAAAATTATTATGGAAGTATTTTTAAGATGACAATTTTCTATATTATGGGTGCAAATTTCTAGCTGATCATTATAAGCAAGCATTCGAGTTCAGATTACACCGAGTTTCTACTGCACTGAAGAAAATAGCTACATGAAAGTAGAATATAAAAAATTTATAAAATATGTTTAGTAAAAGCATCACCCAAATATTCAAACACTTAACTCAGGATTTAAATCAAAGATAAACTTATTTAGCAGATGTTACAGTTAGGGCAATTTTAAATAATCAAAATAAAAAAAAAAAAAAAAAAAAAAAAAAAACATGATCTAAATCTTCAGTCTAGATGCTTTCATAATGGAAACCACCACACCCTCATCAGTTACTTCATACAAAAACAGAGACAACTAAAGTATTACTGCAAAGCATAATGATTTCATATTTTAAATGTCTTTATATATTATAGCATTCTAGGTACAAGATTATCCCCCTCTCCCAAATTTACTGACATAACTTTTTAGCAATGTGTCATTTTAGTTCAAGTGGTACAACTAAAGGGAGGATTTTTAAGAAGATTGATTATCATTAAGCATCAAATTAAATATGTGTAAAGTACAAGTCCTTACTGATAAAATAAATTATAGAACATTTTAATATGTTATCTTCATATTGAAGCAAACTCATTCTTCCCATTCAGCTATCAATTTCCTACAGTCGGACATAAAGAAGCTAAATAAGTGCCTTACTGAAATTATGAACAATGACTTCTTTACAATCAATTAAGAAATGAAAAGTTTTACCAAGTGAGTTAAACAAATGACAATTTACCTTCTTTCTCCAACAGAAACTCAGATAAAGTAGTAGACTTCAGTGCTGATGAATCATCACCTTTCTCTCCCTGAGATCTACAATATCAAATATCTTAATAATAGTAATAATTAATATTATATTTTAATTAAAATTACTCAATGTTATTGACTAATTTCATTAAATTATTAAAAGGCCACTTGGTTGCACTGAGTTTTTTTAGTCATCACACGAAACTTACTATGAACAATATATATATTATTATAAGCAAGGTTGTAAGTACAATACTAAAAAGACCAATTTTTGTCAAAATTTTTTGCGCAATATGCTGCAAAATTAAGGAAATGAGAAGAGAAATTGTAGTTAACTTGCCAAAAAGTTACCAAAAGCTGTGGTTCCAAGAAAAGTTCAACACAGTATTAAAAAACAATGACACTGAATGAGGTGAAATATTAGGCTACTTGCGAAATAAAATGTAAATTATAAAACACAGTAAAATACTAATCGTTGGAAACAAGGGAAAAAAAACAGTAAAAAACCAATCAATGGAACAAGTTAAAAACATATATAAAAATATTAAAATTAAAAAGTGGAAAATGGTAAATTAGCTTAATTCGAGATCCACCCTGGCTTTTCAAGGGAAATTTCTGCGTGAACATCGAGCCAAGCTAACTCCATTACGCGTTTCGCCGAAACAGACAATTGAAACTTTGCATTACAAATTTTTTAATTAATTAAATTAAACTGTCCTAAAAATTTTTTTAGTCTCAATTCTCTGTTCCAATTTCCCGACGCGTCCGCTCATTTGACACATTAAGGTGTAAAAAATGTAAATGCAACTCCGATGTACAGCAATAATAAAAATAAAAATAAAAATAAATAGCGGTCTGCTATTAGTCAAAATATACTATAATGTACGGGTTGGACCTGCAAGCTTAAAGAATTAAAATTTTATAAATCAATCTGAAATAAAATTTAAAGGATTAAGGAAAAAATAAAAATTAACAGCATGGGTCTTGTTAAGACTAAGAAATTTTTTTTTAAAAGAAACATAAAAAAAAAAACAGACCTGTGGCAATGCTGTCTTCTCTATCGTGGAGTAAAAACAAAAAGGGGTTGTAATTCCCTTCCGTGCTTTTCAACGCTCTCCAACTTGTCGTGTGATGTAGGAAGGGGGAAACAAGATCACTGGGCAATAGCCAATGTCAAAAGACTGTCCGTTGGCGATAACCCGCCTAAAACTAAAGGGAGACGAAAGACGTGGAAAAGGTTCAAAATGGCGTCTGTCAAGTTGTTTTAAGAAGGACTGTTGCAAAAAGTGAAAATGGCTAATTCAGCTAAAATTACTTAACATGGCCATAAAAGTACGAGAATAATGGAAAAAACAGTCATTTGTTAATGAAAGTCGTAATTCTTCAAGCTAGAGGGCGATCAAGCTTTACGAAACGAAAAGGCCTGTTTGTTAATAAAAGCAGTAGAATTGGCCATCAAAGTAATTTAAAACTATTTAAACAATAGTATTAAAAGTATTGTGCCAAATTTTTTGGAGGAAAGAAAATGTAGTGACAAGAATTATCAGTACATTTAATACATTACAGTCTCAGAATCAGCCATCCACTTTATACCGTCCCATTGGGCTTTAAGTATAAAATATCATTATCTAACTCAAAAAATCTAAAAATTGATAAGGCTAATGCATATATATATATATATATATTAAAATGGCTAAAAGGTTATGTACTTTATGTCCCAATTCTAAGTGTAATCCATGACAAAAAGTAATAAGACAGGAAAATGACTGGCACTAGGCCAGTGTAAAACAGAAGAGAGGATGGGTTTTCCAAAGCCTTCTTTGTTTGTCTGACTAACAGAATAGATATGTCTCAAGTAAGCAGATGAAATATACTGCAGCACAAGGTCCAACTGTGATCACAGAAAAATAATCATACAGCATAACTGCAGACTATAATATTGCCAAAATTCAATGAATATGTAACAGGCAAATTCAGGAAGCAACATACATGCTCATAACACCCATAAAATTAAACATCTAATATGTATGGCCTCTATGGACTAAACAATCACATCATACAGTTTAGTCAAGAAAATTCAATCTGTGACATGGAAAGAAGGTTCTGCATATACTGTGAGACAGCAGAGGTTATTGTTTGCTTAGGGATTATTGCTTTGTAACAGCATAGCATAGGTATCTGATGCACTGAATTTCACAGACTGGACAAATTTTAAAATGAATAAGAGCTAATGTGAAACTAAATTTTCATGCCATTTGAAAATGAAATTCAAGTCACTTTTAAAATTAGTACTTGGCAAGCTATGTACATGATTCACTCTTTCTAAGAGCAGTTATTTGGAGCAATGGAGCAACATAAAAGTAACTATTGGAGGGGAAGGATATAGCAGTTTTTTTATTTAATTTTGAAAAAAAAGCATATTTAGGAACTACTGACATCATGATCATTAAAATGTGTATCAATTTTTTTGACACCTTGTACACTTGATTAAACACTTAAACTAGATATAGACTGTTTTAAAGAATGCAGTTGCGAATTCTAACATTTCAGAACAAAATCAAGAAAACATTTAATACATTTTAATAATTAATCAGATCCTATAATACAATGAGAAAATATAGCAGTTTTGTAAATGTATAAGAATGAAAAATCTAACACTTCATTTAGTACACTAAATCCTGCTTAAGATAATCAATCACAGTTCCAGACGTTTCGGTCTTTTGGCCATCTTACAGCTCGGTGCAGCTCAATCTGCTAAATACAAGTATATGTTCCAAACCTGTTCTGGTTATTTTAGTGATGGACACAAGAGGTGGTCGCCATAAAAGGATTTACTGCATTCCAATATTTTTTTTAAATTTTATTTTATACACTTCGGCACTTATTACTGTAAATAAATCAGCAACATATCAAAATAAAAGGCAGATATATTAATAAAGACATTTCAAAATATACGCATTCCAAATGCCTTTTCAAAATATCAAACTTACTCAACATCAGCCTTGTTTGGCTCATATGTGGTTCCTTTTCTGCATGCTTCATCTAGAGCTTCCAAAATGCTATTTAATTCAATGTATGCAACTGAATCTTGGCTATGAAACTGAGCTTCTGCAAGATACAGGCATTGAAGATGGGATACAAAAAATGACACACGGCTGAAAAATAATATGGACTTTAGAACATGTACCTGAACAAAAAACTGAATACATAATTCAGTAACAATATTGTTAAAAAATTAATAAGTAAAAAAGTAACACAGATAAATCGGAATTCTGCCACAAGCATAATTCCATTATGTACCGGAAAAAAATGCAAATTATTCACATACATTGAAAAAAACTCGTGTAAAAATATAAATTATTGTAATTGTAATTAAAGTAAGTAAAATAAATGAAATTAATTATCTCATACAAGAATAAAGTGGAAAGAAAATTTGCAGTTCCACTTCATGTTACATTAAATATCTTTATCACAACTTGTTTACATGCCAACAATAATGTTGTTAACATTTTGGGGAATAGAATTTCACTCCTCCAGCAATGTGGTCTTTAAGACATCTATATTTCTAGCAGAAGGATGTATCTCGGATTTTGCTTTTCCAATGAAGTTCCATAAGTTCTCTATTGGCTTAAAATCGGGAAATTTTGCTGACCATGATATTCGCTCAATGGCTTCATTTTCAAGGAATTTGCCAATGAAATTTGTTTGACGTAGACAGGCATTATCATGCATAAATAAAACGTCAGATCCGTATAAACACCGGAAAAGTCTTAAACAAGGTCCTAAGACCTCATCCTATCACCTCTGGCTGATAGCAAACCAGCTAGCATAGTAGTTAGTGGTGCTGACTACCGTACTGATGGGCTTGAGTTTGAATCCCTGAGAAGGCATAGATGTTTGTAAGCATATAGTGCCTGTGCAGCAAGGAGGCACTCAAAATACAAGGTGAACCAAAAAGTCCTGTTGAGAAAACATTGTTGGTAGGGAAAAGGTGAGAGACATACAGACCATCCCCTGGGTATTCTCAGACAAAATTGGGGTGGAATTTTATGACCATACCAAGCAAGATCATATCTAAATGACCAATGGTGAATTTCTGGTATCTTACATACTTTTACCTGCATACAGGCTCCTTGGCAGGTCATACCTGTTGATGATTTTGTGTTTCTGATTCTCTCCATGCCTCATGTGCTATAATATTCAATTAAATAGCCTAATTAAGTTGGAGGTTAAGGGCAAATTCATTTATAGAAATTTATGAACATAATGTGTCATCTCTTTCCTGTAGTTGCTTCTATTTATTTACAAAAGATGATCACATTATTATACCTTTTGAAGTACTTAAAATGCTGACAAAATTTCATTTCGATATTTAAGAACCATTAGAAGTAAAGATTGTGTGTGACAAGCATATCTTAAGAATGATAATTACATTTAATAAAGGAAACATAAATGATTAAAATAGAGCAACACTACCCCCTTACTAGAGGGGAGAAATAACTACAAGATTAAAAATCACTTAAACATAATCGCAAATAGGTCTTAACAATTATATGCAAAGAATCAATATTAGAAACTCTAACACTAACATTCTGTGAATGTGAATACTTAACCCAGTTACAAAAAATAATTACATAAATTAGCACAATGTAAATTAAGGTACATAAAAATTATCCCTTGTTGCAGAAGACAATGCACATGCCTTGCATTAATTTCTTTAAATTATTGACACAGCTTTATTTAAACTTGGAATAAATTTAACACATACCTATCATACAATGCAGGTAATTCATCATGCAATTCAGAGTTGATAACTTCGAAGAGATTACGAGCCTCATCTAGCTGCTCTTTGGCCTGGAATTAACAGAATTATATAAGTGGCATGATTATAAGTGGTAGTTTTTACACACCAAGCCAATATCCAAGCGGTGTTGCAGTTCACAGCAAGATACAAAAATGATGTTTATTTGGAAAATAAGATTTAAAAAATTTAACAGCTAAGAAAAACCGCTTGTTATGTATATAATTTTAATCTTAATCATTAAAGAATTACATTATCATGTAACTTTCACTTCTTATGTTTTTCTACATGCACATTGCTTCTGCTGTGAGTTCACACGTTCTACACTTAGTAAAATGTTTCTGCATAAATTAATTTTCCTTACACTTTTGCACCTAAATCATTTACTTGCTTCAACTAATTTGACACAAATAACAACAAATTTGACAGCCTATACAGTAACCAAAATGAAAAATCACAGCAGTTTCAATATGCACTTTTGATAAAGATCAATAGAAAACAAAGCATGCAATACAATCAGTATTTGCAATTTTAAAGACTATTTTGATTTATAAAAACCAGAATATTTCCTTTCCAGATCTTGTACTGATGCACTCAACTACATCATAAAACGATATTACATACATTAAAACATAGAGTCACATACATTCAAAATTATATTTTCATGTAAAGGAGAATGCACATAACCAAAGTACAAAATTTAATATATGAAACTAAAAGCAAAATATTTATTTATTAACCAGATTAAGTGACAGGTTTCTTGCATTCATTAAATACATATTCAAATTAACTTCCTATTATATTATTTTCATTACATTTGAATTATATGCAGCATAACTTTAAACACTGCTAATTGTCTTTTTTATATACACTAAAGAGCCATTACATTACGACCACCCTCCACCTATAACAATGGGCTCGCCCATGAAAACCACTGTGCATGCCCGGCTGATGTTGGAGTGTATAAAGCAGATATACATTGCCTTTCCAAACATAGCGTGATAGTGTCATAATGGGAAAATCAGCTGATTTATCACTTCGATAAAGATCAAATCATTATGGCTCGGCGACTGGGAACATCAATATCAGAAATGCCGTGTTTAGTGGGCTGTTCACATGCAGTTGTTGTGAGCACATATCGAAAGTGGTGTATGGATGGTGAAACGACAAGTCATCAGCCAGCAGTGTCATTGATGGTGCATTGTTTCCAGAGGAGAGCGGAGATTGCTACGCATTGTTTGCTGTGACTGAAGAGCTAGAACAGCCGAAATCACCACCAGCTACAACAGTGGCAACCCAAACAGTGTTTCTCAACACACTGTGCAGCATACACTGCTATGTATGGGCCTATGCAGCCGGAGGACAAAGCATGTCCCTGCTCATTGATGGCACGTCATTTCCAGCTATGTATGCAATGGGCTGAGAAACATCGGAAATAGACATTAGAGGAATGGAAGCAAGTTGCATGGCCTGACGAATCTCGCTTTTTGGTCCATCACATTGGCTGACATGTGCCAACACACCAATTTCCAAATGAAACCCTGGCTCCCGGATGCACAGTTGTACGGAGACAAGCTGGTGGTGGAGGTATTATGGTGTGTGCAATATTTTCATGCAGCACATTAGGACCCACAATCCCCTTGGAATAATCTTTGGCATCAGTGTGGTATGCGAACATTGTTGCAAACCAGGTTCACCCATTCATGACAATATTTCCGGCGGAGAATGGTGCTTACCAACAGGATAATGCACCGTGCCATAAGGGTCAAATCGTCACGGAGTGGTTCGAAGAACATTCCACTGACTTTCAAGTCATAGCTTGGCCTCCAAATTCACCTGACATTAATCCAATACAGCATTTGTGGTCCCACCTAGAAAAACAAATTCATGCTGCCACGCTAAGCCTTTGCAAGACCAGTTGGTGAGCACGTGGTACCAGATACCTCAGACTACATATCTGCAGCTTGTGGAGTCAATGCCACCCTGAGTGCTGGTAGTTTTGAGGGTTAAAGGTGGTCCTATATGTTAACAGGGTGGTCATAATGTAATGGCTTTCGTGTATATCCTTAAAATATTATGCTCCATTTTTCAAATCTCTATGGCACTCATTGAATGTTTAAGGAAATGAAATAACAGCATCTCTTCTGGCTTAGAAGAATTATCAAATGACATCCTACATGATTCAGGAAGTACATAGTCTGCCCAGAAAGTTTGTCAACTGATGTTATTCCACTGTACTTGGCAATAGTAGTTTAATGTTGAAAGATGACAGGTATAATTGAGGTGTTCTTTGTTTTCAAACCTCTTTTTAAATGCATACAATGCAAATAATGATTTTTTTATTTTGTTTTTGTACTGCTATGTACATGGTGGGAAACATTAGTGGCATAACTAATTTACCATGGAACTTGAGAAAAAATGGAACTGAAATTCATGAAACATTTAAACTGCGTGGAGAGTTAATATAGCAGCCAGCATCATTCAAATTACGTGACCATTTTTTTCCACGAGTAGTGAGAAGATATGATAAGCAATATGAGAGAAAAATGCCTACAAATGCGCTCCTTTACAAATATACTGCTCATGTGTTACCTTGCGAGCAGCATAGACAACGATTAACTAAGATTTTGCTGAACAGTTGAATTTAGAAAAATGAGTGGTTATACAATATCAGAGAAGAAACTGAAAATAAGAAAACTGCTTGCAGACATCCTTTTAATATAGTGGACAAAAATTGAAAGGAAAGAATGCTACACAGACCACGCAAACCACGGCTTTCCTTTATCAGATGATTTTGGTGATGAGTCACTGATTTGAAAGTATAATTTGACAGAATGGTTGTGAACAAAAAAAAAAAAAAAAAAAAAAAAAAAAAAAAAAAAATCTCAAAGAAGGAGAGCCAAAATCAAAATAATGGTGATTTTCCCCATTTTTTTTTTTTATGTTCACAGAGTTGTGCACTATGAATTCATTTTAGGATGCCAGTCTATAAATGAAGCTTACTACATGAATATTGTGATACTGCTAAAATGCATAACAGCAGTTGTTAGAAAGAAGCAAAGGGATTTTGTGTCATAACAAGGTACTACTGCAGACAACTTAGCTTTAATTCCTAGTCAGTCTTAACAAATTTCTAACTTTAATTTAGTTGCTGAACTGCTACAGCTTTCCCATTTCCCTAATCTTGCGTTTCTGTAACACTTTTTGTTTAAAAAATGTCAAAACTAAGTTGCAACTGAAGTATTTGGAAAAAATAAATAATAACAAGATCAAAATAATGAAATATTACAGAATCTATCAGTAAGAGACCAGTAGTACTGCTTCCACCTGTGGAAACTTAGATTGGCAAAAGTGCACAAATAGTGCAGGGCTTATTCTAAAAGTCATCATGATACATTTGAAAAATGTTTGCTTTCATGTACTTTGCTCATAAATTTTCTGAATAGATTGCATGTATTACACTTTTTGTTTAACCTCAGTGTCAATACTTCTTAACTTCAAAAATAGCTCAGATTTTTTTTTATTGTTCTCGTAGTCTTGAGCAGAATGTCTTTTCTGCTGTGGCTTTGATCATCCCACAAAAAAGACACTCTGCCTAATTGCTTAGCTCTTTTAGCAACCACACTTGAAGCATTATGCTACAATCCAAAGAGTTAAGTTTTATCCAGACCTGAAGTACAGCAGCAAAAGGCATTGACCTTCACAGGTGCTGTCTATTAGAAAACATTGCCATTAACAACTAAGCTGTTTAGACTAACAAATGGTTTTCATTATCATACAGAGGGTGCACAAGACTAGCAAGGTCTCAACTAATGGTGGCATAACACCTTCTATTAAGTACACATTATTTAAGGTATCAAACACATATCCTGGCATACAAGTGTGCGAGCTTCTGTCTCCTAGAATGCAGATCAGCAGAAATAAAAAGGCTCAATTCAAATGAATTATGGACCGCAGAAAATGCTACTATAGAATAAACTGCTACAGAAACTTCATTTCAGCTGCTGCTGCTACTATTATAAATTAGAAGATGAAAGAATCAACAGCCACCTCAACATCAACAGAAGCAATCCAGCTACAACTCCAATATCAGAAATGAAGCATAATATAATAAGCATAATGTGATATGAAGCATAATAAATCGGAAAATTACAGCTGTCAAAGAAAAATGTGATACAGAAATTGCCTTTGGTAATGAACACAAAGCAGCAGTTATCGAACAAAGAAATCCTGAAGTTAGGAAAATGAATTCTGGAATCTGGAGCCTATAGTATTTTATGCCTCTAACTTAGTTTCTCTGCTTCCTTCTTGCTCTCATTACAAAACAGAAAAATACCCCAGAATATGTACAAGGTATAATTTGAAATGGTAACACAGACAAACACCAAATATATATTAATTAGCATTTTAAATGCTGCCACTGTTCAGAAACTGCAGATATTTCAGATACTCCTGACAAAGATGTAAGTGGATGCAGATGTTCCTTTCGCTCTGGAAAACCACATGCAAATGAGAGCTTAGAAATGAAAGACTGGCAAAAATAAAGGTAGTCACATTAAAAAAAAAATTAATACCACTTTGGCATTTAATTACAAACTATATTTAAAGTCACTTTGATATTGGGGTTTCTCATGATAGAAAGTTCCATGGCCAGTTACTATAATTTGCCTGCTTTTCATGCATAATCCAATTTTGGTGTCAAAGCCTCTAAATGGGCACAGTTGTGGGGAATGCAGCACACTGCATAAAACTGACATCCTATCTGTCAATGCAGAATGGACAAGACAGCTTTAAAAAAAAAAAAAAAAAAAAAAAAAAAAAAAAAAAGAATTTTAGTTATTTCTGTGCGATTGACACAAGTACCTTAAAGATTAAAAAGAAAAATTAAATCACACTTGTTTGCACCTTCATTAAGTGTTATTGCTAATTACAATCGTTGGCTACATCATGCAATGTCCACTGTATGCTAACATCGCTATATGCCAGTGAAAACTCTGTAAAGGGGACAAATGTGAATAACATTTACTTACAATTAAATCGTTATCAAAATTTCTACTTTATTGTGTCAACTGGATGGTAGTAACTAGTGTCGATCTTATGACCTGTTGTTCTTATGAATGCAAAGTAATGAAGGGATATGGAGTTCGCAGCTGCTCTGATTCCAAACAGATCGAGATATATTTGTTTGTGGGCTCATTCCAAGGTACTCTTGGAGACAGTGTTCATTTCCTCTCTTATGCATGAATTTATGTTAGGAAATGGCAATTGTGATCCTAACTCCTTTTGTTGAATAAAATCATTTTTGAAATTCTACGTAGTTTCCTAAATTTTTACATAAAAGGCCGACAATTTCTGGTTACCTGACAGAATGTGCTAGATAAACACATACACCATTTTCAAGTCCATAAGAAACTTAAAATCATACAGAACTGTCTCTTTCTACATTTATGCAGAAAATTAGGCACACTCATGTCTTAACAGGACCTTCATCTTGTCTAAACCAAAATAAGTGGGGAAATATAGCCTGTTCTGTCTAGCACTGGGCACACAGTCTAACAGTTAAGGGTAAGTAAGTGATTAAGCATATGAAGAAAACATATATGAATCAATGGACACCACTGGTCAATAAAAAATATCTGAATAAAGAGATGACAATTGATGACAAAGGAAGACTCCAGATGACAATTATGAGGAGACTTTATAAACCTATATGTATTACTAGCTAATATTTAAAGCAGATCACTTTCACTCATTTATGGTATTCACTAACTCAGATAAAAGCATGTTTTTATCACAGAATTACCTCAACCAACAGGTTTGTTAACATTAGATTATGGCAGATGGGCCTTTCTTCAGATTACATATCATGAATTAGATCCTCACATTCACAGAACCTGTATCTAGCAGAAAACATGCAGGATGCAGATTAGGTGCTCATAATAGGGGTTTCACCACCAGTGAAAGTGAATTTTTGACTGTTACTCACAAAACACATATACAGAAAATGCCACCTTGCTTGTTACAAAGACTGACTTTTCACACAAAATATTAGCTGCAAGCTACCTATCAAATTAGCAAAAATTAACATATTCAAGCCCTTTGGGCTAATCAATGATGAGTAAAGAACCTAATTAAAAAACCTTTTTTGCTAATAATAAACATACATTTTATTTTGTACGGAAGGAATGGCACTCAGTGTCCGCATATACCCAACTAAGTTGTAGGCATTTGGGAGAGACACAGCTGAATGACTGACATATTCCAATGGCAGACTGCCAATTGCACTGATTTTGCATATGCGGAGGGTAACATCCAGCACACAGCCAAATTAAAAATGTTACCCCCTTCATATTAAGAATGCAAACCAGCAAAGAAAATATTCTTTTGAATGGCAGAAACTTTACAGCAACATTTTAGTAACATACAAGCAAAGTCTTGCACACAAGTGTTGAAGAATTCTATGCAAAAAACCTGTCATTACAGGGACAGAAATAATTATTGCTCAAACATAATCTCTAAAAAATATTTCCTTACATGCACAGTCTGTCAAAACTGCTTCATGATTACCAGTGTCAACATCAGCTATGAATCGTACAGCATTTGAATTCATGCTGTGTTACGTTCCTAAATGAATAAAGAATTTCTATGCTATTATAATGTTGCCTCAACATTTCTGTCACATGAATATACATGGGAGAACAAACACAGAAAAATGAACTTCTCCTTCATTTTTTTGGCAACATATGTTTTGTTCTTTTTAATTACTGACACTACTTTATGTACTTGATTTTTAGATGAAAGTTAGAACTCTACATTTTTTTTTCATTGCATTCATTCAGGATTTACTATTATTGGTCAGGATAAAAAATAAAAATTAATCATGTTTTCAACTAAACCTTCTATGCATTACATGTCTGAAAAGGTCTATGGTTTCTTTCTATTACTATTTTGTTCTATAAAATATATTGAACTTTTTTCAGCATCAGCAAAGGCAACCAGTTTTACTTATCATGCCACTCCTTATATATATCTCAACTGTACATAAAAATATGAAGCTATTTGCTCCAAAATCACTACATTAATCAATGCTTAAAAACTGAAGAAATTCAATTACCTTGGCAATTTTTGCCTCCTCCCGTTTTTTCAAAGTTTGAAGATTCTGCAAATTATGGCGGCAATTGTCATAATCCAACAATTTTCGATTTCGCTTAGCTATTTTGTTCTATACAAATACAAACAAGTTTTAACTTCACTTGCAAGAAAAGGTAAAACATAAAAAGTTTATTTTTCTTGGGGTGTTTAACAAATTGAAAAGAAAACATACTATTCTAGAACATAATTTAAATAAGCATACTACTTAGAGAAAACATTCAATGATAAAATGACAGAAAAGTATAATCTTAAATAAGTTTATGTTCTGCAATGATACAAAAATCATATTAAACATATCAGAGCACAACTGATTTTGTATTATCTAATGCTTGATCTAAAAAATGATGAAAAACAAAGGGCCTAACTTTTCCAGATACTGAGGTGATATAATGATCACAATGCAACAATTAAAATAAAATTAGTCACATAATCAATTCTATTTATTTTCATTCATTTGTGGCAAAATTCAACTCACTGTAATAGACTGCATACCTTAAAAGAACAGAAAATAATTCTACTTACATTATTATGGCCATAGCTTGAAATGAATGCCTACATATACAACAATCTACAACTGCTTCAGGCTCTGGATTGAAATTGGCAAACAAAGTGTGGTTTCAACTCAAAAACTTATCACAAAAAGAAATTCTTTTAGCATTGGATATCAGCATATCAAAGTATGGTTTACAACCAAAGCTTTATCACAAGGGCAGATTTTTTGTTGCATCAGATAGGTTTCAATTCAAAACTTCACCAAAAGATAGCACTGCACAATTTATGTGAAAATGTGCAGAATAACCAGAAAAACATATGCAAGAAAGGATAGGCTGGTACAGCAACAAGTTGCAAATCAGCAGCTTCAACATGAACAACTAAAGATCCACACATCAGGTATAAAGCATCCTATTTTCTCAAAAGCAAAGCTGCACCTGAAGAATGCCATGCTTGCGAATCCTGGACAGACATATGATTGTAATGCACATTCCCGAATTCTAATTCTGGCTTGGGACTGACTATTACAACATTTGCGCTTGATGGAGCATCAGCCCATCCTCCCATCAATAAGTCTGCTGAATGGCACACCAATATAATGGTGTGCACTATATGTAGCACTGCTGTTCATGCCAAGTGTCTGGAATATTTTCTAGCAAGAGAATACACAATCAAAAACAGCTTATATCATTAAAGAAAGCCTCCAATGCATTAATGCTCTCCTTCAGCCTGTGGAATCCCAGATGCCTTTGCAATTAAATGTGTCCTGGACAAGCTAGTTTATCAGCTGCATTACCAACAGCATATCAGTAGACTATAGCAGCAGCTGCAGAATGTGACATAAGATGACGTAAGGTATTTATATGTTTCCCTGCCATGCCTTATATCAGCATCCATCATTGCAAGGAGCAACCTTTAAAAGTTAATAATTGATAACATTTATGATGTGCATAAAAACTGCTGCAATAAATAAAAAATAAAAACTGAAATAGATTAAATAGAAAAAAAAAAAAATGCTATCCATTTCAAATTGCAATAATTTATATTTTCATGAATATCACAGTTGCTAAATAAGTATCATTTCTATATCAAATAAAAGTTCTAAATTCAGGTAATAAAGTGAAAACATCGAATATAACCTAATTAGCCATAACTTAATAAAATTCAAGCTGCATCAATACTCACATTCAGCTCAGGAAATTGAGCTATGTAAGATGCTACTGGAGTTAACAGTTGATTGTTTATCTTTTCACAAAAGTCTTCAAAATTCTGGTTCAGTGTCTAAAAAAATGAGATGCATGTTTTTACATGAACAAATAAACAGAATTGATTGAATCAAAATTATTTTTTTTATTTAAAAAATAAATTAAAACATGACTACATTACAGTGCAATCTTGGTATTTAACAATATTTTTCTTATTGTGGTATGCAGGTGGCAAGATTCTTTCTCAGAACGAATCAAAATCTTGACACCTCGATCATTCATGAACAATGAGATAACACCATATCTTCAAGGACAAGCTATGTACAAACTGACTGCTTTAATTTTGTAACTGCACAATAAAAATCAGCATTTAAAGACTCCAGGTGTGTGACATTTCAGGTGAATTTCACAAGTTTATCTTGTTAATCCCAAGATACAATGATGAAAGGAGATGACCTGACTATTTTCAAATTTAGATATATTTTATTCCAGTATTGCATTTCTTCAAGCTAAAAATGATTCACACGTATCTGATCTAACAATAATGCAAACTAGAAAAAAGCAACATGTATGTTCAACCACCACATTTTGGCCTGCATTTCCTGCAACAGAACTCCACTCATATGACATTACCAGATTTTCAAAATAAAATACATAATTTTGAAAAGAAAAAGATAAAAAAAAAAAAAAAAAAAAAAAAAAAAAAAAGGCTCACAAATACCCACACTGATGAAAGAGCACATTGATAAAAGCCCACATAATCAAAAGGGACTTATGATTTTTCATTACTATAAAATGTACTTATAATTTTAATTATAGTAAATGGGGTATTCAGATCTGAATTTTAATGTCTCAAAAATATGCCTGTTTGTATATTTTATCACTACTTTGTTTATTTTTAGATTCAAAGCAAACTTTCTGCTCTCTGATTAAGTGATTAGCTATAACATTTCGAGGATAAATCTCAAAACACATTTTATTATTTATTTACTTATTTAACATTGGTATGTGTATGTGAAAATGAAAAATATCATTGTGAATTTTTTTCTTGCATTCTAAAATCACTTTCAAAGTCTTGATGCCGGTAGCAAGTTATCAACAGTTGTTCTCTTACTGCAATGCTCATAACAAATATCTGCTCCTCTCTTCACAAAGAATTCTACATCATTCTCTCACATACTGAATTCTCACTGTACATTCAAAGTATACCTCAATCAATTGTTTATGAGCTGCATTTGGAGTTAAATGTTGCACAATTAAAATTAAATATATCTTGCTTACACAAATACACATAAAGGTATAAATGATCACATTCAAATGAAAACTGCAAATTACATTCATGTTAACAACTTTGCTTTTATAGTGTTCCACTACAGCTTACTGTTATCAGACTTAATCACACAATATGTTTACACACAAACCAAAGTTTAGGGGTAAAGCCATAAGCAGCTGCTGAACATTGGAAGTGTTTTTAATTTTCATTTTATTAATTTTCATTACTGCTATCACGTAAAACCTAAGTAGAAATACTAAAATTCTTTATTTCTTAGGGACATCTTATTCTTAGGGATTTTTTATTTCTTTGGGGCAAAGAAATGATAATGTTTAATGCTTCCACATTTTACATAATAAAAAGCATGAAAAACGTTTCATATTTCTCATTTAAAAGAACCAGAAGCAAAGCTATTAATAATGTGAACTCTGACACTACAATTAAATGAAATTCTGACTTTGTATGATTGCTCATAATGGCTTCATGATGCAAGTTTCAATACTTAAGAGTTTATATGCTCAGCTCTTATGTCACAATTCAGTCAAGCTAACATGGTGTAATTCTTATATATGTTGTCAAAATAATGAGTTTACTGCACAGGAAGCCACATTTTTTTAAAACAGAAATGAAAGCTGGTATTCACATTTCTTTTGTTCTTTTAGGTATCATTTGCATACAAAAGTGGGCTAACTGCTGAAGTAAATGGAAAATGGTAATCTGAGAAGCAAATCTATTTTTCACTCAATCTTTCCTACATCAGGTAAAAATATTACGTTCCCAAACAAAAGCCCACTGGATGAAAGCACACACAACAAAAGCCCACTGTGATAATTGCTCACGTGACAAATACCCACAACAATGAAAGAGCACATTGATAAAAGAACACATAATCAAAAGGGGCTTATGATTTTTCATTTCAATAAAATGTATTTATAATTTTAGTTATAGTAAATGGAGTATTCAGATTTGAATTTTAATGTCTCAAAAATATGTCTGTATATTTTATCATTACTTTGTTTATTTTTAGTTTGAAAGCAAACTTTCTGCTTTCTGATTAAGTGATTAGCTATAACGTTTCAATGATAAATCTCAAAACGCATTTTATTATTTATTTGCTTATTTAACTTTGGTGTATGTGTACGTGAAAATGAAAAATATTGCTGTGAAATTTCTCACATGCTATTTTTAAAGTAATATGGCTGAGATTAAGTATAATTATGTTTCATTATTAAAACTATTAATGTTTTCATTGAAAAACACTTGAATTTTATTTTCTTCCTTTTTAGTTAAATGATATTGAAACAGTTTTATATAATTAAGCACAATGAAAACTTGGTTAAGAGATATTTTATTCTTTACTTTAGACTGAGCTTATTATCAAAGTTTAAACATATTTCTGATTGAAAGCTTTTTTGAATGTAAGAATTATAATTTGGTGATTATCTAGAGATATTTTCTTTTAGATTTCTGAATGAATTAAAACTGTGAGCTGACACACTGTCAGAAGATGAATTCCAAGTGTAACCTCTTAATCTTTCAACTACAGCAATTTGGAATAGTGTTTTTAATTTTCATTTTATTTATTTATTTATTTTGGGGGGATGGAACAACTCTTAGAAGTCAACGTATCTACAAATTTAAGTACAATCACCTCAAACTATACTAATAAATATGTAGTATTTTATTAGAGTTTAATAAGATTATAAAGAACTATGCATATAATAACATCTAATAAAATTTTGCAACTACATTAATATATATTTATAGAGTCATCACATTCAAAGTTCATCATTTTTAGATTCTTAGTATATATACTATATAAATTCATCATTCATTAATAGTATTATGTAGCATAATAGAAAACTAATATTAATGTTTCAAATTGTAATTTTTTAATAATTTGCCTTGCATTTGCTGTATACTTGTTAAAGATGTATAGATATCAGTTACGTAACATGAAAAAATACAGGAAGCAGCTAATCTTGTATAACGGTTGATTGTGACAGGACTTAGAAGAGAAGGGCTAGCTCATAGAGCTTTTCCCCCTGAAGCAGAAAGTGAGAAGTGATGATGTAGCCATGATGACACTGAGCACGCCAATATAATTCACAGCTTGGAAATTAGCGTTTTTGAACCAGTGCTTAAAATGAGCTGTGTGTGAAAGATAGCTATAATTTGGAAGAGGCAATGTTACTGCTTTATGCATTTTAGACTGAACCATTAAAAAATTTAATAATGCTTACTCAATTTTAAAATAATAGATAAAATGTGCTACTCTTTTAACATAGAGTTCCGTGGTTTTTTTAAATTTTTATTTGCATGTTTTTTTATTTAATGCATGTTTATTTCTAATCATTTCTTTAATTGCATGCTAACTGAGAGAATTTTTATACTGCTTCTAAGATAACTATAATAGCAGCTATTTAAATTTACTCAAAAAACAACTTTACATTGACATAAGTTTAAACATATATGACATATATGGCAACATTTCTGCTAACCTATGTTTGATTTTTTTGCCTAATTGTAAATTTTACATTGTTATAATTCTCTTAATAGATATTTTTTTAAATAATTTTGTAATTTTATACTTATATCTATATTACAATTAAATAAATGTATATAAGATTGTTACCTTAATTTTGACAAAATAGCTTTATTCAGAGTACCTAAAACAGTTATTTAATTTTTCAAAAGTGTGAGTAAAGGAAGCAGGTGTTTTTATGCCAATTACTTTGATGTTTTATACTATTATATTTTATCTAGAATGCTTATCTAGCACAGAATCTAATCAATAATTAGTTACGAAGGATACAATAAGAATTTGTAACAAGTACTTAACAAAATTAGTTTGTTAAATACTTGTTATTCTTGTTGGTACTATTTTGGTACTATTCATAATACTGAAGATATTATCTATTAACTCATAGAAGTCAGATGCTTTCTGATTTCCTGTGGGGTAGAGTATACCTTTTGTGGTACTTTTTGAAAATAATGTCTTCTCTGGAGCGACTTTTTGTCTCTCGTTTTCCTTGACCATTAAATAATTTGGTTTTAGTTTGTGACACAATTTGATTTCTTCTCAATCTCTATTTAAAAAAAACCTCGTTAATAATAATCAAAATTTAAAACAGTTACATCTTCTAAATTCTAAAACAAATCCTCTATCTAAAACAAACACGGTTTCTCAGTAATTTGAGGCAGAGCGCGAAATGAGACCTCTGATTAAAACAAACTGCACATTTTTTAAAAAGAACGAACTTAGTCCAATTTAGAGTCATAGCAGAGTTTTCAATCTATATGCATTTTGTCGAAACTGAGAATGCATATTTTTTTCTACAGAATACAAATATTTGCCTCTTTCCTTCTTTAGAGTAAGAACATTACTTTGAATTCTTGGACTACACTAAGATTTAGAAAACACTAAAAAATAAAATAAACACCATTTCTTTAATTTCATAATACTAGGTAAAATATTCCAATTTTTTTCTTAATTTTTTTTCTTTCCAAAAATCATAGCTTTAAGATGACAGAGCTCTTACGACAATGCAACGTGAAATATTTTCACTAGTCCACCTGATTTTTTTTTCTTCTTTTTCAGTAATGTATTAATCTAAGTCTTTATAAAATAGGCTTTAGAATTTTTTCCAAATTCTCCAATTGTGCCCCCCCCCAAATTGTGCCCCCCCCCAATTTCGCTATTTGATATTAATTTTCTGATTCTGATACCAATTTCTGTCTAGATGTCGTCCACCTTCTTTGTCGCTGAACAAACATTCTAAAATTTTTCTTTTCTCTATTTT